ATGAGGGAAGGATGGGTGGGCAGCGGATCAGAGAAATGTGCTGAGTTCTGCAGAGGTCTGTGTGAAGTGAAAACTTGATTTACAATAAACTACGCTCAACTGTTTTATATGCACAATACATTCATGAAGTTGTTGTTAATGCATCATAAATCTACAATGGTTATTAATGCTTCATTCCCCCTCCGAAAAAGGGCGGGTTGGCACTCTCGCTTCCCAGTAAGAAGGTCCTGGTTCTGAGTGGAGTTTGTATGTGTCTGCTCCGGTTTCCTCAGGGTGCTCCGGTTTCCTCGGGGTGCTCCGGTTTCCTCGGGGTGCTCCGGTTTCCTCGGGGTGCTCCGGTTTCCTCGGGGTGCTCCGGTTTCCTTCGGCTGCTTCCCCTACCATTAAAAACATGCGTGATGAGTGAGTGAATGGATGGTGTTGGTTGGGGCTTTGATGCGTCAGTGTTCGGATCTCGGATCTCTAGTCCGTCATCATCGTGTGGAGAAAATGAAACAATATCTGATTTCTGAACATTGTAAATTGCTTTGGGTGATCTTGGTCTGTGAAAGGTGCAGTATAAAAAAAGATTACTTATACTTACTTACCTACCTATATAGGTTTCCTCCGGGTGCTATGGTTTCCCCAACCACTATAAATGTACAATAGGTAGAATCCTGTAACTCTGGTCCCGGCCTTCAGGATGGGTCAAATGCAAAGGACAAATTGCTCTATGGGGATATATAAAGTGTACCCATACTTTGCATCACCTAAACCTCAATGTTGAAACTATGAGTCCATGCAGTAGAATAGTGTGTAAACAACAACGTTAGTGGTCCCACACTGGGGACATTTCAAGTTAATATGCATTTTTCAAGGATTTGATTTGCATGTTTTGATTTTAATAGTATGTTAATGTCACCTTTGCATGATGTCACATGGGGTATGAAGAACAGAAAAGGAAATATCTGTTTTTCTGTGGAGTTATAAGCAGACTTGTGAATGTCTGCAGCAGAAGGCACATAAAACTGGACATTTTGAGTTGAATGTCTTGCTGCAGAGTCATTTGTCACTTGCGGTTTTGGTTCCTGGTTTTTAAATTGGTGACAAATGGATGAAGCGAGGCATTTCTGCTGGCGGCAGAAATGCTGAAGTCATGCTGTTGTTCGACTCTCGGCCGGTCCCACGCTCAGGCCAGTTCTCTGCTTCAAATAACGAACATTTTCTCAAGTAACACAACAATACACTGCGCCCGTATCGACATACATTCTCAAAGTTTGCTGTTAGATGGTGCCACTGTATAAACTGGGTCATCATTGTCTGGGAATAATATAAATAATATCATGACAAAAAATATCAATATCTTAACCAATTGTTTAGCCATGAATTTGTAAGTTAGATGTAAAAAAAAAAGTCACAGCATATCTACTTTTTCTTCAGTGGTTTCAGACATAATGACATAATACAGCAATTCTTGTGAAATTCAATTCTGCTGAAAAGACTCTACAATATTGTTTTTGATAATAATAACAACAAAATTCCCAAGCAACAGTCGCTGATGGTTTTAAAAATAGAAAATACATACATAGAGTAAATAAAGGGATGCCACAAGGATCCATTCTGGGCCCTCAGCTTTTACTATGCATTTGCACTATTGGTTAATATTCCAACCATATAAATAAATGTTTGTGTCTTCTGCAGGTCAGGCCACGCCTACATTCCAGAGATTCCTCAACTTGACCATACGATGCTGACGGATCCATAAACTTCTTTTACAAACTCTTGCCTCCTGCTTCTCATTTCAGCTCTCAGACAATAGATCGACGAAGCCTTTCCCAATGAGTATGTACTGTAGAAATGTCATGCCTGAGTATCACAGCGTATGTACCAAGATATAAACCAAAAATAGAAGATATAGATATAGAAAAATAATGGTTAATCTGCATTTCAAAACAGGTATAGTATATTTCTAAAGGAATCCAAATAGAACAACAGAGTTTGCAAACTATACAGTTAATGCCGTAATGGGGAACTTTTGCTAGGAGAAAATAAATAAGCTTTGTCAGCGTTATAAACACACATATTATTAAAATATGTTTGAATATAGTTGCATTTTCAGTTGGTTCAGTCTTATTGAGAGACAAAAGCCATTAAAGTATTCAAATACACTGCCAATTATTTTGTTCTCTTCTGTGGTGGTCATTTCCTTGTACTCGTTCCCAGCTAAAGTCCCAGCTAACGGTGCATTAAGTTTCATATAGTTTGAGCTGTAAACTGTGTGGACATACGGTTTAATCTGCCGTTAATCAGCTCCTCGGAAAACTCACTCAAGCATCAGATGTGGTAGATTACTCCGGCTTCTCCCTGTTACTTTCTGCAGTCATCACTTCACAATTGGACTTCAGCAAACCACATCCCCCCCACCTCTCTGCATAATACACACAATCCTGTACATGAGCTCCCCCTGGGCAAAAACCGGGGTCCCCCTTTCCACATTCACGTTTGCGTTGTGTGAGAAGCCCTCCGGATTAAACCTAAGTCTTTTGTTTATGATCTTGACTTTTACCGCTGGCACTATAGCCCAGAATCGTGTGTGCGTGTGTGGGGGAGTGCGTGTGTGTGGGCAGCCCCTCGGATCAAACGCAGCGTAAGTCGAGCTCATAAACAGGCTTTCAGGACCACTTAGGGGTTTTGGGGGAGACAGGGAGGAGGTGGGGAGGAAGGCTCGAAAGGAGAGTGCAGAAATCAGCTGCTCTGTTTATATAGCTTTCAGTGGTGATTACCGGTGCAATCTGTCCGTTGAGCTGAGGAGACGTCAGGGCCCATGTACAGTACAGTGTGGAGTATGTTCAACAGGAGAAGCTAATCTTTGACAGCAACCAAATATGAAACACTATACAATGTGTTTACTCATTTATTATGGATTTATTAATAAGGCCTCCTTCTGAAGCTGCTATTAGTCCAGAACTAGACTAGAACAAGGACAGATGCCAGGCTTTTCAGGTTACAGACAGCAAGCGACTGGGACTTTAGGACCAGCCTTCTCCTCAGAGTCTGGTCTGACAGATCACCCAGAGATTCTCCTGCTTTATCGTTGCCATGTCGCATAGGAAGTAGTCATGCAGACCCGAGGAGCTCCTTCAGTAGAAGACTGAGGCCCCCTCAGTGCAAGAAGGAGTGCTACTGCAGGGCCTTTATCCCCACTGCTGTCAGACTGTACAATAAGTCACTTTAAGTCACTAATGCACTTGGGCTGAAGAAAACAGCACTACTATTGCCACTCTTTTATTGTACATAATTTTATCCCACAAAAACTATATTTTCAACCTTAACATGTTGCACACTTCTGTCTTTGTGCACAATCTGAGTGATTCTATTTGTGCCAAATGTGACATGTACATTTCTCCAGTGTGAGATCAATAAAGGGTTTAGGATTAACTTATTGCACATATAAATCTGTAGGCCTCCTCATCAGCCTACAGATTTATATGTGCATCCTTCCTTCACTCATCCACAAAACTCCCCACCCACCTGGAGGGAGCAAGGCACTTCTCAGTTAAGAACCATGTCCTCGGATTTCCATCACAGCCACATCAGACTTGTCTGCAGACCGCCAGAGTTGGAGGTCTGGTTTGATGAAGCCAGCAAGATGATCTGCAGACATTAAAACCAAGTGTTTTAACAAAAGCAAATAGTAGTCATTAGAAACAATTGGTTTACAGTATGTGATAGTGTGTATTATTTCTGTAGGATTCAACTACTGGTATTATAATTTTAATATTGAAAATGCACACATAGCTGTTGACAGTAGAAACAGGCCTGACAGGGACCTGCTTTGCTAAATCCTAATGTGAACCTCTGGCGTGAATGAATCCACAGACTGAACAGAGCAGAGAAAGTGTTTATTTACCTTCATGGACACGTTTAAGTGAGTCCGGAGAGTGGAGGAGGCAGGGACCACCGCAGCCCCATGTGTCACTGTAAACCAGGCTTTGGCACCGGTCTGCGTCTCCAGTCTGTCCAGCGCGCAGTGTGCGTGCGTCCGCAGACACTGGCAGGTACCACCCGGCCCACTGCGAGAGTGGCGTCTATTTACACTGAGTTAAATTATGAAAAGACCACATTATCCAGTGGAAATATCTTAAATGCATTACAGCCGTCTCCTGATTGAGTCATTTTAATGCCATGTAGTCTAAATATGAAGTTTGTAAAGACAGGAAAGTCTTAGAGAAAGTGTAAACAGTTCGTGTCGTTGCGCATTTGCCTCAATCTGATCTAATAGATGCTGAGTTCACACTGAGAAGATGCTGTACATGTTACTACCACCAGATGGCGCCAAAGCCAAACAAGGCGAAAGTAGCACAAGAGGCAACAAACCACCTTTTAAAAGTCTCCGGTGTAAATATTCTCCTGCTCCAATAAAGTGATATTGAACTTTATTAAAAAGAGTGTTTCTGGTTTAACTGCAGTTTGAAGTTGCATCTGAAAACAAATCCCTCAATCTGGTGGTGTTGTAGATTATAGTGCACCCCTGATCAGATGTCCGCGGGTTTCAGCTTCCTGTGCCATGAAGACGCCAAAGACCTTTAAAATATGATAGTTTGTTTCAGATTAGACACATATATTTGAACATTGACCTTCAAAATACTTCAATCCCTCTTATTATGGTACAAAACACTGTTCCTACTCTATATACATAAATACACACTGTAAGTACAGTAAGTACAATCAGCCATGAATGTTCCATTTCCACTGCCCTTACATGTATATAAATATATGCATATGTTTTGTTGTTGTCACTTCAGGGAAATTCGCAGCTGGACCATGTAACAGTAGATCCACGCAGACCGTGTTTACGGAAGAGGATGCTAATCTCTCCATAACACCGGAAGCGGTAGATAAAACCTTGGTCGAGAAGTGCGTCACAGACAGACCGTGGAATACACGGGACACCGCAGATCAGCGCCACAACATTCACCAGCCGCAGAAGCAGACAACTGAGAGCCTGGGGCTGAGCAGACATGGTGAAGATCGCTTTTAACGCTGCCCTGGCGCACAAGGGCAAGGAGAGCCCCGCCGCGCTGAAGGTAAGCTGCTAACAGCTCTGTGCTGCAGCTCTGTGCTGCAGGATAGGCCTCCATACTGGCGCTAATTCCATGCGCATCTTTAGCACAAATCCTGCTGCAGTTGGACTGGTCTTTTTGTGCTAATGTGCGACGTAAACGGCGCATTTGATGGTTAGGCGCAAACTGCGTGTTTCTCTACACCTGCTGCAGCAGACAGTAGTGAAGAGGAGGAGGACCGCCCATTTTACAGCTGTCAGACTCAAACATCCATCAGGATTAGGATGAGGATGGACCGGTGCAGTGTGCATGGCCCTTACCGTAGATCTGTCATTATAGACACATGTCCAGTGTGTCTCCTGCTCTCTCACTGATGCTGTATGTTGGCAAATAGTTTTGTGACCTACATTAGATAGCATTACAGATGATCAATTATTTTCATTTCTGCTTCATGACATGTAAACTACACTGACCCCTGACCACTCAGTCCTCTGTGTTTGCTTCATTTACCCCAACGACAAAGAAGGGCCTGGCTCCTCAAATGAGTTTGTAAATGTCGAGTCATTCAATCAGATGTGATGTAAATTTGCCATCAGTCACCAAAAGAACTAAACAACTGCATACATCAAGATGGATGCAATAAACATGGAAACAAAACATAAGAACAGTGGGGACAGACCTTGAAGTCTAGAAAAAATATGTATTAATTAGTGGTTTACAGATTACCATCTAGACGTCTGTTTGAGACATTTATAAAGTGTAGAACGTGTACATCACAATCTAATTATTCCGTGATAGAACATTATGTGACGTCCTTTCCCCATTCAAAAGTATAATTGAACTGGTTTACGCCAGGACCTTTGGCATAGGTTGAAAACCAAATGAAACATTTGTCTTCATAATTCAGAGCTCAATCATTTTGTCTTATTATTTATGACTTGTTTTGTTTAGTCCAAACCACTTTATGTAACTTTTCACACATTTCACCAGTGATGCAAACACTACACTGGTCCACTCTGGTGCTGTAATGTTTGTGTGTGTCCAGGACCCGGAGCTGGCTGGGGCCCCCGTGTCCATCGATGGCTCCACCGGCCGCTGCCTGCTCACTCTGCTGGGCATCGCCTTCATCCTCAGCGGCCTCATTGTGGGAGGGGCTTGTCTGTACCGCTACTTCACCCCCAAGGTCTGTGTGCGCAATTTTGTATCAACATCTTCTGCTTCGTGCAACAATCAAAAGATATTATCAAACCGGCGTGCAGCAACCTCTTCCTTCATCATTCTCAAACCCACAGATAAAAGATACGTGGATATTGTATAAGTGGAAGTTAAAGGGTGCACTTCAACATGAAACTATCAAGACAAAAATAGGAAGTTATGTAATTAAAGTAAAAAATCTGTTTTTCTAAAAGCTGGGGAGTCGAACCTTTTTCAAGCACAAAAAACATTGAGCTATGTCATAAAGTCCATTTAGCTTGATCCTCGCTCGCAAAGTTTCTGACAGTCACTAGTTTTCACGTATTTATGTATTTATGTTCTGTCACTTCTCTAGATCAGCTTTTTCAGACAGAAAAAGCGACAAAGAGAAGACCACCCTCGCTCAGTCAATTAAGTTTGCAAAATATAACATGTTTTCTAGTAGATTAAACCACATTTTGACCAAGTGTTTGGTCAAACATGAGCTGAGGTATCTGTGGTATCTCAGGTAAAAAGTCAGGTCCCTAAACTTTAACATGAAAGTGTCAATAAAGCCTAATTTTTCAAAACCAAATCCAAATGTTTATTCTTAAAGTTGTATTTTCTTGATTTTATATTTCTTCTACTTCTCAAACTCATTTCATAATATACATAAGGGGGAATCCATTTTACATTTGTATCAAGATGTATGATAATTCAAAGGAAACCAGATGACGATAACATTGTTATGATAGAGTTACTGTTATTTTCAAACTCTTTGAAAACTGTCCTAAAAATGAATCTTCAAAACTGTCTTTCCTCGTGGGGCTTTGACGATGTGCCTTTGACAGAAAAAGCTGACGCAGTCTTTCCCAGAGTGCACAGTTGTTGGATTCTGCTGCTGCGCTGAGAAAGGACAAAAAAGATAAATGTGTAAAAAGTGAAGCATCCAATTAACTTTGACTCGTTAATCCACCAAGGAATGTTTCGCTGACGTCAGAGACTTCTCCACATTCTTCGCTGTTTGACTTGCTTGAATGTGTTGCATAACGTCCAGAATGTTCTAGTTACACATTACTGACACAAACTGGCCACACAAAGTACAGTCGTTATAGTGATAAGTGATAATAAAGCAATATTGTCGCATGATGTCGGAAAATGGCGCCGTGGCAACAGCTCTGGTGTGTGCCGTCTTCTCTGTCTGGTGCACACTGGGGAAGTCTTGCACAGTGTTTCCGATGTGGTTTTACTGCAAATTGCAAATAAATTCTTGAATCTTGAACCTAATAATAATGATGATGATTCATTTTTATTTAATGGCGTCTTTTAAAAAAGTAAAGACTAAATAGACTTAAAAAAAACACAAAATATTAAGAACAGACTTTTTTTTGTGGGCAGTTTATTTGTAGGCACTGGATAATGTAGGCACTGATTTAAAACAAAAATGAAAGAAAATAACGCTGAATCATACTAAAGAGAAATAATCAGTTTCATAATATTTGGATACAAACAGATTGAACAGATTGTCAATCCCAGAAACTGCACAAATATTGTGTAAATAATTCTAAATGTTTTGTATAAAGCCTGTGGTCTGGACTCTAGTCTCTGCACAGTCTAAATATAGGAGTTTCTATATGAAGCCTCTTTATCTTATTTAACGTCTGTGGATTAAACTGGAGCCAAAATAGTCTCTGTTCAGAACCGCTTTCTTTTCCAACTCGACTCCACTAGAATCTTTACTTTGTTGTATTTTAGACTAAAAACTATAGCTCGTGTTGTATTGAAGTCTTGTTTGGTTAAATTCACTTTTGTAAAACATTATAGTGCCCTCTTCTGGACAAAACTCCTGCTCATACAACTTTGTATTCACTATTCTGCATTTCATTCAGTTCCCTATACAATAAAGTTCAAATAATGTGGGGATTGTATTTATCTAATTGGGATTTCAAAACGGAAACATTTTCACCAAATGCTATGCTTTAATTGTGGTTTTTGAGCCTAAAAACTGCTCCGATGTGAATAGAAGTAATTATACAGTTTCACTTCCTTAAAGCTAATGCAACACTGCAGCTTGACTCATTAATATCGATGCATAATTTTCACTGAACTTTTACATTTTGGGGACGTTCAGTTTATACTTTCCCAACATCTTACAACTCAATGTTACAACATGGTTCTCTCATAAAAAGCAGACCTGGAGTAGTTTTTAGATCCATTCACGCTAATATCAGGAACTTCTGAACGCTCCTGTCCCAGTCCTGTAACAGTGTGATGTCCTTGTACTACTATGTAAAGTATTTTTACCTCTAGTTTTTGCCGTAATTCTTTGGCGGAAATGACATTCTTCACAATCTCATTATTGTCTTTGAAACTTCACATTTCAAAACTTAAAATAACAAATAAATATTGATTTTATTATTTGAATTTATTCCAAACTTCAACAATCGATACAGGCAAAGACATAAAACTTGGCCCAGACTCCGATGCCAGCTCAGAGCCCGCAAACCTGAAAAGTCCTGTTTCTCACGCGGCGCTGAATCCATAACACATAATTCATAATATTTTCTTTGTTAAATGATCTAAATCGGGTGGCTCCAATCTTTTTCACACGGAGAGCTTCTTTCCCGGGGAAATAAAGGCAGAGAGCTACTCCTTAAAACGGCCCTGGGATAATGTCTAGACATATTGGTGTGAACAAAGTCAGTGCAAAAATAAATTGAATTATAAAATCTGAAATATTAAGCATATTTCTTAATTTGCTCATTTCTCAATCCTTTGGCGAGCTACCATGGAGGGGGTGGCGAGCTACTGGTGGCTTCCGAGCTACAGGTTGGAGACCCCTGAGTCTAAATTGTACCGAGAACTATTTCACAGCATAGCCCGAGTCTGTGATCGCTCGGCCACTTTCCCAGACGCTGTATTTAAACTCCCGATGCGTGTTTGTTGTCACACAGCGGCTGTACCACGGCTCCATGCAGTTCAACGACCGCTTCCCGGCGGGAGGCGAGGGGCAGCCCTACTACCTGCCGCAGGTGGAGGAGAAGATGGAGATCTCTGACGACATGGCCGTTATCAGTGTCCCTCCTCCACGCTTCCGACCCGGAGACCCAGCCTACATCCTGCACGACTTCAACAGGGTGAGGCTAGCGTTTGTGACATCATTACGTTCCTAAGAGCCCGTAATAACATTGATGAAGATAAAGAAAAATCTGTCCTGGTGACGATGGGAAGTGCCAAAATAAACAGTCTTAGCTTAGAACTCACTTCAGATTCAGATTCAGATTCATTTATTTGCCATTTGCAGTAAAACCACATTGGAAAAACTGTGCAAGACTACCCCGGTGTGCGCCAGACAGAGACGACACACACCAGAGCTCTTGTCTTCTCTCTTCTTCTTGGGCCAATCTGCATTTTTTTGCCCCTTTTTCTTCTTTCTGTCTCCCATTCACTTTGTGTCTTGTATAGATAGCCCTTCCCTCATTCCTGTGATCATTAATGGAAATAGAATTAAAGCTGGGGGGCGGGGTTAAAAAACCACATGAAACTAAAACGGTCACAAAGTTCCACATCCTCTTCATCAGTACATTCAACTATGATCTAACAATTTTCTCAAATTTGTCTAAAAGTGGTGACCATATTCTATAAACTTGCATGATGTTGGCGTCTAATAATATAGCGTGTAAAGCAGATGATCAAATATCTTAAAAAAAAAAAAAAGATTTCCTTCCCATAGAGATAAATTGCCATCTGCCAGAAATACTGAAATAGAATTCAAGAACATTAAAGCAACCTTGGCAAAAAAAAAAAATGTATGTAAAGAAAAAGAAACCCAGGACAGCGCCTGAAAGACAAAGTAGCATGTTTAATGTTATTTGGCCAATCACGATTAGTTTGATTTGATAAACGTTCGCAGATGCAAGATGCAGTGCAGCCAACAGGAAGGAAGAGATTAGTTCTTACAAACGTTATCTATTTAGGCCGAGTGGATATGATACGATGTCTTCGGGTCAAGACGAACTCTACTGGAGATTATACACATTCTATTCTCAAATATTCAATACAACCTTCAGTTATAGACAAATCAAATGGTCTTACAACAGTCTGACACCGTAGAAAGGTTTGTATCTTTAGTATTTTGATCAATACGATGAGCTAGACAAGTCATTTGAGTAGTAAATATTGATCGAGCCCGTAACTAATATTTGTCGTGAACTGACCCGATGCTGACGTCGCCCATAGTTTTTGCCGAATGCGATAGAAGCCGATTTTAACATGAGCTAGCTGGAGCCTCTTTTCATTTATTGCCAGATTTGTTAGTGAGGTTAGCTTAGCGCCATAACGGGGGCAGATGCAAACTAATGTGTTGCTGCCATGGTTGCTATGGCAAACTGGATTTTCCCCGCAAATGACGGCTTGTGATTGGTCAATTCTTATGGCACATATCTGACTATATGAAGAACGATATCAAACTAAAAACCCTAGGATCATACAAAGCACTAAACCACAGATATAGACGGTAGGGCTGAAACAACTAATCGACTAATCGACGACTAATCGATTATTGAAATAGTCGACAACTATTTTAGTAATCGATTAATCGTTTTCTTGTTCACACGGACTCAAACAGAACAAAAATGACATGAAAATGTAGTATTTTTGATTAAAACCGACTTGTTTTTATAATTTCATGAATATCTGTCTGTCTCATCCAATCAGATAGCAGAATTAGCACAAAGAGCCTGTTACAAACATTTACTTTAAGTTTACGCCATCAATACGTCCTCGAGTGTTGCCACTTTAGCTTTTTGTGATTAAAAAATATTTTTTTTCTACACAATTCACAGCCAAGAGATTACTCGATTAAGCGTAAAAATAATCGATAGATTAATCGTTAGTTGCAGCTCTAATAGACGGTTACTGAGCTAGAGGATGATAAAATTAACATGTAAGTGTAAGGAAAATACTGTAATGAAGTGAATGCAGGATGTCATTTAACATACTCCAACATTCTTATTGTCCTGTAGTGCATCTTTAACTCTTTATCTTGTGTGTGAGCAGAAGCTGACGGCCTACCTGGACCTGACCCTGAGGACGTGCTTCGTGATCCCCCTGAACACGTCTGTGGTGCTGCCCCCTCAGGACCTCATCGACCTGTTCTCACAGCTCATGGTGAGACCACAACAGAACCACATGTTTGTGACAGGAAATGCAATAACAAACTCAGGAGCCATTGGTCCACAGGGAGCAGAAGAACAATGTCCATGAATGTTCCTAAATGTCATTAATGTTGTGTCACGTGTGTGTTTCAGTCGGGCTCGTACCGCAGTTACCTGGTGCAGGAGGACCTGGTGGTGACCGAGCGCATCGACGACATCAAACCTCTGGGCTTCTACATCCGCCGCCTCTGCGACGGGAAGGAGACGTACAGGATGCAGCGCCGCGACTCCATCCAAGGTCTGTGTGTGTCTGTGTGTCTGTGTGTCTGTGTGTCTGTGTGTCTGTGTGTCTGTGTGTCTGTTTGTGTGTGTGTGTTATGTTTGAGTAAATGACATCTGTTTCGTTCTCCAAATAGAGATTGTTGCAACTTCATGCGTTCTGTATTTTGAGCATCCAGCCTGGCTGTCTGCTACCTACAGGATTGGGGGCCTACTCAATTCTGGAAAAATAGTTGCATATATTTTTAACAAAGTTGTGTTGTGTAGATATTGGATTCGCCTGATGTTTTGAACCTGTATAATTTCTTTGGCCCATAAGAAATTGTAATTCTGGCTATTATACATTGCCAGACTCCCTTGATGTAATAAATGGTTATTTCTGTTTTTTTAGACAAAAAGGCCCTGTTTGTTAAATTATAACTTATGTCTTTTTCCTAATGGCAGAAATGGCTGTAGGAACACATTAACAATCTTTTGTCGCCACCTAGTGATGAAACTCTATATTGTCTGATGGAACTCACTCCATTTGTGAGTTACATTATAAAACATCTCCCTGGGCTTAAATTGGACCTGCAAAAATGACATTTAAAATGACACCATTGTTAGATAATCTGAGTGGTGAATATTGACCCATCACGTAACAAAGAGTTGGAGTGGGCTGACAGAACGCTGACGTCACCCATAGTTTTTGCCGAATGCGAAAGAAGCCGATTTTTAACATAAGCTAGAAGGAGCCATTTTCTTTTTGTGGCCATTTGTTACCACGAGGTTAGCTTAGCGCCGTAGCAGGGGCAGATGCAAACGTAATTGCTGCATTTTTTAAATACCAACACCTTTTTATAACATATTCTTTGTTTTTTTTCTTTTCAGGCGGTGGCATCGTGAAGCGCTCCACGGAGGACTGCTTCACCATCAACCACTTTGAGAACAAGTTTGTCACAGAGACCAGGATCTGCAAGACCTAAAGTCCTAGGAGAGAGTTTGAGATTCAGGAAAAGGGATGCGTGTGTAAAGTAGGTGAACTAGGGAACAACTTCAGATGGGAATGAGCTTTTGTACAAAACATTTCTGCTGCTTTAGCCTTTGTGACGATGTGGTTTATGTTACAGTGTTTAAGACTTAATTCTCCTCTTCCTCTGCTGCTTCCTCCGTCGGCATCATAGGCCATTACCAGAAAATCAAGTCTTCATTGCACCGCCAGCTCACAGTTTTGGCTCTAGTTTCTCTGTGAGCTTGTTGTTTTTAATTGTAGAGATTCTTCTTCTTATTCACTCTATAGAGACATGATTGTTCAGCCTGAAGTTGTTAAAATCTTAAGTATCTCCCTAAAAGTGAACCTACTCTTCTTGCACTAACTCAGTGTTACCTTAAGGGGGAGTAAGTGATCCATGCATAATGTTGTATTACTACTATAGAAGAAGAGATGTACTGCTTTTTCAGGTACTCTGTATGGAGCGATAAGAGTATTAAGAGACCAGCATTTTACATTTTTGCGAATAACGCTCAGTGGATCTAAAACAATCGGATTATAGTAATAACAGGTCCATTGGCGTTCTGTTTGAAACGGATAATCTTCTTTATGGGAATTTTACGCAGCATTTTTTACATGCTGAAAATGTAATAAATACATTGTAGAATCCAGTATAGGCTCTTCATTTATTATTAGTATTATTATTATTATTTGTATTATTATTATTCACATTATGTGTGAAACAGACAAATGGTGGAGCCCTAGAACTTTATAGGGCATTTTTATAAAATTATAAAACTAAAATGGATAACAAAAAATACAAACAAATTCTGCTACTTTGGCGCCAAGGTTTTTTCTTTTCATTTTTTTTCATTTGGCATCCAGTTCAGATGGGGCGGGGATAGGGGGTAGGTGAAAACGGAAATGTTCTCATGACTTGTTGTAAGCATGCGATATGGAAACATTTAATGTAGATTTGGGAGCTGTCCACGGTCTAGTCACAAATGTATCTTCCTGATTACTGCATGAAATTTGGAATAAACTATTTTTACAATTTGTACATTAAAGTACCCGTCCCTATGCAACCAGCTGCATCCATCCAGGCTTGGCAGTCGTATATATACCCCTGTCATCTCTTTCAGGATTTCATCTATTTTCTTATGTCTTTGCTGTTTCAGTCCAAAAATGTGAAGAGAAAGTCCAATATATATTCAGCGATGTAACTATAGCCATATTGATGTTTGCCTGATGGATGTAGGAGGATATTAGCTGTAAATAAACCAATCCAGGTGCGTGATTGTAAATGCTGAAATGATTGCACTGTAAAAAATGAAGCCAAATTAGCACAATCACTTACTTCCCCTGTTCTAAGTGTCCACAGTGTCTGGTTAGTTTGTTCAAAGGGATTTTCCCCCAGTACACTGTAGATATTTCCTCTGTCCTCTGCTGTTTGTCATGTACGATGGTGACCCGTGTTTGTGTTCAATGTAAAAACCTTATTTCTGAAAGAGACTTGTTGATGAGTAGTTATTGGAGCGCATAAGGGCATTTTAAAATCTGTTGTGTTTTTGCTGTAGGTCTGCCGTTTTCACCATTTTGATTAATCCTTAATATTTGAATATAAACGTATGTTGTGGAAAAAATGTGCAATAAATTTGCATTAAACAATAAAATGGCAAGAGTCATACATTCATGGCCTGAAGTGTGTGTGTGTGTGTGTGTGTTGGTACAAAGGATTTCCAAAACATTACCTCACAGTCACCTTGATATTTGCATCCATCTTTCATAGTTTGGTATTTTACATCATTGGAAGCAAGAAACCCATTGATTGCCTTCATCTGAGTCAAAACATTTTAATCGTGATAATATAAATAGTTATCTAGTTTTCTACAGTTACTATATTTCTTACTTTAGTGGTACAGGTATTTAATCATCAAAAATACAAGGTGGCACAGTGGTTCGCAATCTTTCCCAGAAGTTCCAAGGCTCGATTCCACCTCCGGACAGGGCCAGTAGAGTTTGCATGTTCTTCCCAGGCTTTCTCTGGTTTCTCATAACACTCAAATCACCAATATCTTTCCTAAAAAAAGTCAGAATACTATGATCAAGTGTTGAGTCCAAGATGTCTGCCCGTCCAATTCAAGAGTCTTGTGCCCCTTGGTGCATGCTCAAAGCATCGACGTCCAAAAACATTGGCCGAAGTGCCATGTTCCTGCCAGCTCTGGTTCTTCTGGTGTTGTGCAGCAGATGTGCAGTTTTTCTACATCTGCAGGATCAGAGTAAGACCGGACCGTTCTGACCAATCAGAGCCAAGCAGGACCAGAACGAGCAGAGTTTGTTGCAATAATTTATAGAAAATTATTGAAAAATCGATTTTTAAAAGAAGAAAAAGTTCAGGATGACAAGGAGGACTGAGATTTACACATAATTGAACCTTTGAGAAAGATCTATTGGTTCCCTGTCCGCTGAGGACGAGCCGTTTTAGTCTGTGTCCCAAACAGCCCATGGGAATTTCAGCTTGTCCATGCTGAATATCCAGAAAATATTCAATATCAGGCAAGAGAAGTGAAGTTTGAAGTTATTACAAACATCCTTTTTTTTTTCAAAGGCAAGAAGCTTTTGGACAGGTGTAGACTCCAATCTTAGTGGTGTTCATCCTAATATAGTAAATTCTAACAATCAGCTGGTTTCTGCTGTTGTGTTGCCAGTTCTCATGTACTCTCCTGTTGCATGCGACAGTCTCCTTCCATCTGACACGTCTGGTTTGCTCAATCTTCGGCGAAACTCATCGGTCATGAAGTAGTACATGAGTGGGTCCAGGCAACAGTTCAGACTGGCCAGACACAAGGTGATGGGATGCCAACGAAGGATGGCGTTTATGAGAGCGCAGTCTTTTAACGAGTTTGATTTCACCACAAAGTCCAATGGGAGTGTTATGTGGTACGGGACAAAGCAGACCAAAAACACCCCACTGCAGCTCAGCACCATTCTCAGGGCCTTGCGTTTCTCGCCTCTGTCTGGGATGACTTTTGAGGATGGGTGCCGTAGACTCCAAGCAGTGAGGCAAGTGCAAGTGATGATCACAGCCAAAGGGATGACAAACCCTACAAGTTCTGCACTCAACACTATAGCCCATGCTGTAGCTGGTCCAATGCTTCTCGTTGGGAGCTCGGCAAAGCAAAATAAATCATGGCTGTTTTTGTACGGCTCATTATTGACCGAGTTTTTTTGCTGTATGTTTGGTGTCCGCAGTAAGGGGAAGAGCAGGCAGGCCAGGCAGACCACGCACCACACCACCGCACACACCAACATGTCCCATTTGCTGCGGGACGAGTTGTAGTTTAAGGGTCGCACGATGAGTTCGCACCTCCGCACGCTCACGCAGACCAGGAAGAAGATGGAGGCGTACATGTTGACGTATTTGAGGTAGAAGCAGATCATGCAGAGGGGGTGTCCGAAGGGCCAGCTGTTGTTTAAGTAATAGTAGATCCGCAGCGGGAGAGACAGCACCTGAACACAGGGCAGAGACTAAATCAGTATTTTGGCAGCATTTTTGTAATTCCATAAGTGACATCGGCAACTTCGACTGTATTTAATATTTTTAGGAATACATATCTCTGATCATGTGACCGTATCATTTTAATTATGAAGTGAAACATGTAAATCACTACCTCCCCTTGGCATATCCATCACCAGTAAAACCAATGGTGAGTAAATATTTGACGCTTTGTTGTGATTGGATGAGTGGCTGGGTTCTCTGATCTTGAGATGTGACGAGAGGAGAGTGATACAACCACTTTTTTGAGAGCGAGAAAGTTTTATAATTTATTTTGTGGTTGGACAGTTGGGTACCCCAGCATGTCTCCAGATCTGGATTTATAAAGGCCATCAACTTGTGCTGTTTGGACAACTACCTTATTGTACATCAATCAATACTTCCACGTTGAAAGGGGAATTGCAATGTAGCCGGGTTTAGAAGAGATTTATGCCGGCACAAAAACAGTTGGTGCCATGATTTGTGAAATAAGCCTGATACAATCTGTGTCAGTGTCCTCTATTATAGTGTTAAGCACAAAAACATTGAACTGATGCTATTTTGTGTTTTAAAAGTAAGATTCCTCTTTGCTATAAAAGGTCACTACTAAACTCCTCCACATACTGTATAGTCACCATTTACCAGTGCTAGTGCGCCCTCAGCAGCGCAGTGAACTCTGGGCTACAGACTCCAGGATTTCAACAGTACTCAAACAGTCAGGGATTTAGTGTCTCCATTTCCTGTTTGATTTTGTTTATATAAAATTGGTCAATTCCTGATTTAGTGAGCCATAAAATAGATTGATGATGACTATATGAAAGTCCCGCGGGAAGTGGAAGCTGCCTTAGAATAAACTTTGTTTAAATGATGTATACATTTGTTTTTTTTTTTTTTTTACTTGTTGGGGGTAGATGAATGTGAAGCAACATTAAAACAAAATAAAAAAAATTCAAGGATCTTGCAAAGTATTCATGAGGTCATACTGTAACCACTTCAACGCCTCATCTTTGCATTGTCTTGTAAACTTCTCTTCAATTCTGGTCTTTCTCTGAAGAAAAGCAGCCCCACAGCATGATGCTACCACCACCAGGTTTGATAGGTAAAAGTAACTGATCCCCACTTTAAAGCTTTAAACTTATTTGTTTCAGAAATACATTATTTTTGTACCAGTCCCTGTAACCTGAGGAGCACAGGGACCGGTCCCCTGATTGTGCAGCTAAAATCTGGTTTTTCACCAAAAAAGTAGATTAAAACCTTATTTGTGCTTGTGACTTGACAAAAGTTCATGGGATATGGATAGTTTTTTTTTCTGTTTTCTTACTGTAGTTCAATCAAGATCAAAAGCTATGCACCATTTCCTCCTACATTTGCTTCTGTCATTGTTTTTCCTGTTACTTCACTTTGGTTTCTGTTTGAGTGAAACAAGCAGGAAGTTGCACTTTCTCGTACCGTGAAGAAAAGTTAACACCAAATCTACCAAAAATAACTGCATGGAAAATAAAAAAATAATGAATGGATACATAATAGTTTCTGAAAGTAATCTAGAAAAATGTATGGAGCTCAACAGTGCCATCTTAAAACCTTGATGTAAATTTCCCTTTTCCCAAAGAAATTCAAAAATAAAGGCTTTCAGGACACCACATATACTGATTGTGCTATTTTCCATAACACAATTTTAGGGAATTTACAGCAAGTGCTAAATATATGGCAAGTGAATGGGACTTTCCACTTCACCTGCAGAAGGTCAGCCACAGCCAGGTTCATCATAAACACCACGGCCTTCTTAGTCTCTTTGACATAGACTCTGAAGACGCAGAGGGCCAGCACGTTTCCCAGCAGCCCCGGGGCCAGGATCACGCCGTAGACCACAGCGTAGAGAAGGTGCTGGTACGTCCGTAGGTCCTCGCTGCTGGTGCAGTTTTGACTCATTTTAACGTCTCTGAGGAAATCCCAGATACAGATGTTCCTCAGAGCAGTCCATGCTGGAAGTTTACGCCATCTATAAAAAAAAGATAGAGTAATGAATGGTTTTGTATGTTTAGGTTGTTAATATTTGCATATGGCTTGCAAATGCATTGTTTCAGTACTGATACGCATCGTCATTGTTGCCAGGTTGGAGTTGGGACTTGTTACCACTACAATTTAGCATCTGTTTCTGTGTACTAGCAACCTACCCACAACCAACCATTATCCATGGAAATCCTGTGGTAACCATGGCTTCCAGAAGCACAAGCAGATGCGTGGATAACTCCGCAAGTAGTTCTGGCCACTCCGGAGCTAGCCACGCTCAATAAACGCAAATGCCAATCAATCAACGCAATGAAATGTTATTTGGAGAGTACATTATACATATACAGTCTTAATACAAGTGCACGGAAGTTTTCAGAATTTTCCGTTATCGTTTTCATGACAAAAACACTGATGTAATGCGAGAAAAGGCGATCCCGAAAAACCCGGAAGTAGATACCGGCACATTTTAAGATACCGGCACATTTTAGGACACATTTGCAGAGGATCGAATTATGGATTTAGGTTAGGTTTATGTTTGGGTCACTCACCGCTGATGTTCAGAATTCTTTGTTCAGTTTTCATGCAGTTCCAGAGAGTTCTAGTTTGGAAGTTGCTAGCCTAACTGTTGCTAGCATAGCCACGGGAAAGCGTTTGGGAACTATTTTAATTTCTTTCTTATTTTAAATAAACCTTTCGGCACTCCTAAAAGTGGACTGAAGTTTATGTTGTGTGTTCTGTTGGTATAAAGCCGTATAATAAGCGGGATAACGTATAGTACGCAGGTCATTATCGGAAAATAAGTACCGACAGGGCGAAGCGGACCCCGACGCGCAGCGGAGGTACTTAGTACTGTACCAGCTCGGCCAGGATAGAACCATGGGACGATAGTGGAAACACTCCCGATCGGGGTGACGCAGAGCTGAGTTCAGTAAGGAAGGGTTAAATAGCGCTGGTGGAAACAGGGCAAAACTACGTGCATGAAGTTTGATGGATTTTAACATGCCATTTTCTACCCCTTTATTAATCCATTTCTGGGTCGGGTGAGCGGCAATCACAGCTGCCACCAAAGTCTCATTGCACCAGTTCCTCCTACAGGTGGTGGGTTCTCTGTCATCGACTAAATGGCCTTGCTCTTTCAGCGGAGGCTTCAGGCAATGTGGGGTTAAGTGTCTTGCACAGGGCCACAACGACAGCAGACATCAGTGGGAGCAAGTGACGTGGGTCGTGGTGGGCTCGAACCCACTACAATTGCTCTACCAACTGAGCTACTGTCAATTTTGTTAGGCTTGAAAATTAGGTACCCCAGCTTTAAATAGGGCAGAAACAAAACATGTACAATGACAAAATGGTTCAAGTAATTTCAAAGTTGAATCGATGCACTATCCTTTTGCACCTCATGTATATAATTATCCTATAATATATTATTTCATTGTAAGTTCTTTATTGTAATCTGCTTATACTTTTGTCGTTAATATCTGGAACAATCTTCTTGAAAATGTGAGACAGTCTTCTACTCCAGGTTAAACAGTTGTGTTTAGCTGTGCATACAACAGAAACTGTATTTTCACTCTTTTTAATGTACCGTGAATATTTATATATGTAATGCCTATGACTATGATACACTTCCTTGTTTTATTAAGATCTTTGAGTTGCCATCCGTGTGAGCCGCGCTAAACAAATAAAACTTTGACAAGGATGAGGAACTGTATTATGTTTGGAAATGTGTTTTTGACGGGAGGCAGGTGAAGTTTCAGAATTACGTGTGTGCAGGTGAGAAGAAAGAAGAGGAAATTTGTGAAGCTATTTTTTTTGTGTGGAAAGAATGATATCACAGGAGTAGGCAGAATAAACTTTGAAATGATAGCCTCTGTATTGACAAAGTGACTGCTTATTTTATTTACTACAACATTAGCTTAATAGAGTATATCGGTTCCAATTTCCCTATGGCACTGCCAACTCAACGTCTGCTGGGAATTAAAAACAAACAAATGATTCTGACGGGCCAACTGCCAAAACAAAGAAGGCCGGTGAAATAAACGCTGTGTCAGAGGCGGGATGTGACTGGTTATGGTGTTCAATAATCACTGTCACTTTGTCCCATTCTCTCATGCTGCTAACATGCACAGATGTTTACTACTATTTTCATTTTGCACAAGAACATTCAGCATTTTATTCTTACTAATTTATTATGCTAAAGCTTGCTTATTTGTTATGCTAAAGTATGGGATTTTAATATGTTTAGTTTAGTTTAATTTAGTTTATTTAGTTAAAAGGGACCATGTACAATTAGAACATAAATGTTTCCATTTGATGCATTATTATGTTCTTTTACTTGCTTCTTTATTATGCTAAGTTAGAGATTTTAAACTTTGCTTCTTTATTATGCTAAGTTAGAGATTTTAAACTTTGCTTCTTTATTGTGCTAAAGTTAGTTATTATTTTTTTATTTTAGCACAGAGTAATTGTTCACTTAGCTTGTGCTGTGTCCTCCTCATTTCTACTGTTCTGTAACTAAGGATGCAACACTGAAATTTCCCTGAATCTTTACATACTTTAATGTGTTTTTTTTGCTTTTTAACATCACAGCTAGGGGACTACAGATGAAAAATAGCCTCCTTGACTAATTCTGGCTTTTTTAATGAATCATGTGTTTTATTAAATTACATTGTCCCCTTTGAAATAAACTGAAACTGAAAACTGAAACAATCTAAAGCATAATTATGACAAATCTCATAAAAGAGCATGATTTCCACAGTTTTAGCTCTTGTTCCATCCTTGTATCTGCAGCTTTGTGTTTTTCCCACGGGGCTTCCTCTAAACTCTGGCCTCTCGAGTGGTTCGTTTCAAAGTGATTATTCCCAAAACATCACGTACCCAAAAGATCTCCCACAGTCTACAGTATCTGTGTCCACTACAGCATATACAACAAGGAAGTCTTTGTAGCTACATACATTATTTAAATTAGGTGTATTTGCAAATCAACTTTTTGTTTCAATATTGTTTCCACATCAAAACTCCCCAATTTTTGTTGTTGTTGCTGGTTTCTGGTTTACATTTCTATTCATTTAAGTATTGTTATTTTTTTCTGCATTACCTTAAATAAATAAAAAGTTTAGATTTTAGGTCCATTCACTCTAATGGGTTCTCAGTCCTGTAATAGTATGATGTAATTGCACCACCATGACATCACCTTTCTTGAACAAAAAAAAAATGTCCCATAAATTAGTTTTGGCAATGTCTGAGGTAATATTTCATTATTTACAATCTGTAAAACCCGACAGTTTTCTAAGGCAAAGGCTTTGTTTTTTTATGATGGAATGTTTGTATAATATCTTTGATATGTATCATATCAAAGATGCCTGGACCCATGACCCTGATGCACTTGTTGGCATTTCGTTCAATAATGTCCTGAAATATTGTAATGTCCTCGGGACCTACTCCAACTGCTCCTAACAATGTCTGCTGCCGTTGTGTCCTTGGGCAAGACACTTAACCCCACATTGCCTGAAGCTCCCGCTGAAACACCAAGGCTGTGGCATGATGAATGAATATCGTAATGAAATGATATTGGATATTGGACAAACAAAGAAGTATTAGAAATGTAAGAAGGGTTAATAAATACTTGTACTATCACAGGACAAATATTAGCATCATCAAAGTAACATTATTAAATTGTGTCTTTAAAAATCAATCCATTTCATTTCATTTATGACTCTAAAATTCACTTTTATTGCCCTCTGGATTTCATCAATTCTGAAAATGTCTCACTGTTTTGACTTTAACTATATGACTAAGTAGGAAAACCTTAGCTCTCCAGGCTTGACCAGAGCTAAAAGAAAATCCCCAAAAAATGAAATTTCTATTTTTAAGTATCTTTTCATCAGTATCTTTTTAATGTCTGTGTTTGCCATTTTGCCTATTTTTAGCATTTTAGTGTTGCCAGTGGAATATGTTATGAATCACCTCTTGTGGGGTTGTGGGGTTTTTCCACTTCTGCTTTTAATACTGTCTGTGATCTCCCTAAAACAAAAAAATATAGCTTTTAGTCCTGTTCACGTGTAAGACTCTTCTTTTCACAATTACCTTCTAAAACCTCTGTACTATCCCCGAGGACCCCTCCAGTCTCACATAGCCAGCATTCCATACATACAACATACACAGATAGCAACATCCTTTGAGAGAATGACTTAACTGGGAACTCACTCAACTCTGTCTAAACTTTAAAACTATAACTGACACATCATTTCTTACCTTCTCTGTGGATGACTTTGTGTCGTCGGGTCTGTTGAACCATCAAACTAAATGCTAAAAATCCCATACATGTTACCAGTGCTGTAAGCTCATCATGCCCCAACTCAATGAAGATAGGTATTGCTTTTTTCCCCTTGTGTAATTTCCGGTTTTGAGTCCTTCCATCTCTGTATTGTCTTCTCGGATGAGTGAAATGGCTCTATAGCAGACACACACAAACGCACACACACACGCACAGGGGCTGGCTTCCTGTGCGTGTGGGGGGAGTGGTCTGCATGCATTTTTCACACATTACTTACTGCTATTGAGTTACAGGCTGAGTCCAGGCAGCTGCGGGGAAGCCGGCCCACGGGTTTTGCATACAGTATACATGAGAGAGTCTGTGTTTCTCAAACTGTGGTGCATACATCACTGGTTACATTTTATTTTTATTTTTTTCAGAAATGTGATGTGAGACAAGACTAAAGGTTGAGCTACAGATAGAAGATTACGAAATACAATAATTCAAATACTTCAAATAAAAAGTGTATAGAGTGTACATGAAAATAATAGTAGGTAAGTGATGTTTATTTACAGTATATAGCACATTTTTACGGACCAAGGTCATCCAAAGCGCTTTACAAGGAAGGCCAAGGAAATGCTTGTGGTAAGCTATAGGTCACTGTACA